CCTTTCCCATCAACACTGAAGCCTTGGGATTCTCTGCAGGTTTGGTGTGTGATTTCTTACCCCAAAGGGAGATGAGGTCAGTGCCCAGCTCAGCTGAGATCTGCTTTGTGCCCATCCCTTAATTTTGTCTGGAATGCAAACACTTTCTCTCTTTCTGCAGCACCTGCACACCCAAGTGAACTCTTCAGGGCTGCSTCAGAAATCACAAATCCCAAAGCAGGCGGTGCATGAGGAAGCACCAGGGATTATTAACAGAATTATTACAGGCTGATCCTTATTATTGGTGCTGTAACAGCATCTCAGGGTGCCAGCTGAGAGAACAGCACCTCACTGCACCAGACACTGCCAACACAAAGGCTGCATTTTGGCCAAGTCTGTGTAAATCTCTGCATAATGCCCTAATAGGTAGATAATGACAGGCAGGGGAGCACAAAATCACTGCCAGTGTCAGGATAAAGTGACAGCCTTAACAAACCARCTGCCATGTGATTTAATACCTGCTTTAATGATTTACTTTTACTTTTAGTTTTACTTCTAAAGATAAAATTTTAAGTTTTCTTTAAAATTTTTATTATATTTAATACCAGGTTTGCATTGCTGTGCTTCAGAGCATCAAGGCTTGCCCCAGGCTTTGCTGGAATTCTAAGGGTTTCCATTTAGGCTGTGAAAAAGACAATTCCCTCACAGAGCCTGCAAGGATAAGATCACTGTCATCCATTCAAGAACAATGGCAGCTGCTATAGATTGACTCTAATATTGCTAATGCTCCCCTGCAAGCTGCAGAAGGGAGAAAAATGTAGTGAGGTTTGAGGCAGGGCTTCTCCAGGCTAGTTTTAGTTTTATGGCATCAGGTTTGATTGTGAAAAAGGGATATTTCCTCCCTCATTTCTCAGGAAATGTGCAGAGAAGGCTCTAACTTCAGATTTATCCCAAAATCCAGACAGGAATAAAAGCAAGGAATCAGGCAAAACAACAAAGCCCATCATTGCAGCAAAACTGCCTCCAAAGTCAGGAGCAGCCTGATTGAGGACATTCAGATTCAACTCAGTGTGACACGCTGAGATTTTATCCAGAAATGAGTCAGAGTGACTGATCTCACACCCCAAAAGCTGGGCTATTTCCCAATGCAAGGACCTGTCAGCCCTCCAAATATCCTACAAATGGTGAGAGAAGGGCACTCAGCATCTCCTGGTCTCGGAGAATTTGCTTTTGGGACTGTTTAGGCTGATCAAAGCTGGTAGAAGGGGCCAGGCCACCTTCCCTCTGCTGGGATGAACATTCCAGACTTCTCCTTTCTGCCATCCCAGGGCCTGGGGGGTCATGCTGGGTATGGGAACTGAACTGCCTGAGAAGGTAATGATTAGTTTAGGGTTACTTTAGTCATGCAAACCAGTGACTGGTGACACTAATTCTGCCACCAGCTGATGAGAAGGGGCAAAATTACCCTTCACCTCCATTCCCAACATTTTAAATGGAGCATTAAATACCTGTATGCACACATTAATCACAGAACCACAGAATGGTTTGGGTTGGAAGGTTAAAGATCATCCAGCTGAACCCCCTAAYRTGGGCAGGGACACCTTCCACTCTCCCAGGATTCTTCAAGCCTTGTCCAACCTGGCCTTGGGCACTTCCACAGCTTCTCTGGGCACTCTRTGCCAGGGCCTCCCCACCCTCACAGGGAAGAATTTCCTCCTGATATCCCACCTAAACCTACTCTCTGTCAGTTTGAAGCCATTCCTCTTTGTCCTGTCACTCCAGGCTCCTGTAAATGATCTWCCTCYCTCTTCCTTGCAGGWTCCCTTCAGGTCACAATGGGGTGGTCACCCCAAAGCTTCTCCCCTCCAGGYTGAACAATCCCAGCTCTCCCAGCCTTTCCTCCCAGCAGAGCTGCTCCATCCCTCTGATCATTCTGTTGCCTCCTCTGGACTCTCTCCAGCAGCTCCAGCTCCTTTCTATGCTGGGACCCCAGAACTGGCTGCAGCACTAATTACASTTATACTCGTGAACATAGAGAAATCGATACATTTGTCCTCACACCAGATCAAATCCTTCAGATTTCWCTGAAAGGGGGGGATTTGACATCTGTGTTGGCAAATGTGCAGGCCTAAAGTGAAATGGACACAAATAATGCAAAGAAGCTTTTATGGAGAGCCTGCACAGATAAATACAAATGTGTGAATTCCACCAGCAAGATGGGAAGACAAAGATGGGACAAGGACAGGACAATCCAGGCAGTGCTCAGTTAACAGCACCAATCACAGGCTGACTTACCTGTACTGGATTGTTTCTGAAGTGGTTGAGGCTCTCAGCTTTGTCATCAAAATCCTAACTATGTTAAATAGAAATACAAAATTTATCTGGAAGAGAAGGGAGAGAGAGGAAAAGAAATACAACCAGTGAGACAAATAATGGCTTAAAAGATGTGATACACCCCAAAAGGCACATTTTATAGTTTCAATCTGACTGAAAACAGCTTTTTGGCTTTACCATGGATTGCAATAGACTCAGAAGTTTACTAGAAATACCACATTATACAGCAAACATCCAACAGCTATTMATGTTTCCAAAACAGCAGTGAAAACAGAGTACATCACTACTGGCCCTAGCAACGAACTTATTAAAAAAGTTCTAAAAACTTTTAAAAACTTCCAAAAACATTTTTAAAACTCCCTTTTCTCCTTTTCTGGGAGGAACTAAAGGTGAGATTGATGGATTCACCACGACCCTTCTCAATCTGCTGAGTTGGGTAATTATTATTTGTGCTGCAGCCTCACCACTGAGAATTGAGATTTGCTCTACTGCTGTTGTAGCATCTGCTAGCGAGTTTCTTACACAGTATAAACAGGAAATTTAGAAAAAAAAGCAAACTGGAGAGAAGATTGATTTGCAGGCTGTGATCAGTGCAAGGATTTGCCTCCTAGGAGCAGGTTTGGAGTTGGTTTCAGTGCCTAAAGCAGGGCAGCTTACAAGACACAGGTCTGCCCCAAAGTTGTCAGAACCACACAACTGCCAAGGTCCCAGCACAGCTTGTGAGAAGATATTTAAACATTTCCAGGGTCCCAGGGCTCCTGGCATTTTGGAGCTCATGAATGGAATAATTCCGTGATTGACACCTGAATATTGACAAACACTGCGGCAGAGCTGACAATCGAAAGGTGCTCTCAAAATATGCTCTTTTTTCCCCCCGTGCTATGGGGTGCATTTCAATGTTTACACATCCTGGCATCCATCAGAGCATTCCCTGTAACAGGGTTTGGAAAAAATGGAGCCATCAGCACCTGAGCAGACACTGGGAACTGTGTACATTAAACACTTACTACGTGAGATATGGAAATGCTGTTCTAAGAGTTAACATGACGTTTTTGGAAAAGATTTTCTTAGCACAGCAAGGCCCTGGGGAGTAGAAGAAGTAAATAAAACAGTGCAGCTTGTGTGTTTGTTCTTGCTAGAATTGGTTTTGTCATATTAAGAGGTCGATGTCAGCTGGTTCAYGCTTTATTTATCAGAAATAAAACCAGCTCTAAATTTCAGTGGTTTGAGTTGAATCTTCAGCTCCTCAMACCAGTGACTGCACTGCTCTTCAGAAACAGAAGGAGAAATGTTCAGGCAGTCTCTGCTCAGGGGGAGGTGAATGAAGGTGTCCTTCCCCCACAGAAAGAAAACTTCCCCCCTGAAATTCYGCTGCCAGATCTTGAGGTTTTTCATCAGCTCAGAGCCACGTTTGGGTTATTTCTACCAAGGATGCAAAAAATGCACCAATCCAAAATGTGCCAGTTTTGCAATCCTAAAGGAAAGAGCCAGACTGAATCACAGACTCCTAAGCAAGGGCAAATTCCAGATATCAGCAGGGCAGATCACATGGCATTAACAGGATGAACTGGGCTCAGGAAGGCATTTCAAGTTTCACGAGTCCTTTGATGGGACAGCATCCTGCCATCTGAACTGGAAATTCAAATTACCACAGYCTGCATCAGGAAATTAGGGATTTTGGCCTTCTCTGAAATTCAGTTGCAGAAGTGTGATTCATCAGTCCAGAAGGAAAACTGCTAGCTGAAWATCCTGGGAATTACTTCACCAGAAACGCTCTTATTCTGTAAAAATCCATTTTTCATTCTCCCAGTTCAGCTGCCCAAGCCCAGAGCAGAGCAGCAGCACTTGAGGCACCTCTGCACAGCTGAAGTCCATGGGTGGCACTGGCACGGGTGACACGAAGCAGACAAGAGATCTCAGCTCTCAGGAGCAACAGGAAGGCAGAAGAATCTTTTAATCCTTTAAAATAGCTGCCCAGRTGTCTGAGAAAACCCTGCCAGGGACATTATTTCTTAGTATATTCTCYAGGAGAAGGGAACAGTGGCACTGGCCACTCAAACTGAGCCCTCCTCCTGAGTAATCTCAGTCTGAACTTCAGTGACTTTCACCCTGCTTCTTCCTTTAATGCTGTAGTCCTCTTTTACCAGCCTGCCATCCCCTGAAAACCTGAGAATTGGATTTTTTCAAAAGGGCTGGTGAGTGGGATAGGTGGAAGGAGAGTCTCCTGAGTTGGATGGAAGGTCCTGGRAAAATGGATCTCATATATGTGACCAAGATAGCTTGGATGTATGGATCCATCAGGTCAGGAGAATTCGATGGCTTCTTTGTGCATAAAGTGAAATTAGAAAAACAATTTCCAGCTCCTTCTGGCTCTAGAATCTCTCAATAATGCATGTAGCTCATTCCAGGCTTGGTTTTGCCCTTTCTCTGGGTTTCTCTGYCCAGCTGTGGCTGCAGCAGGACAGGACACGAGTGCAGCCCTGTTACACACACAGCTCCTGCTGCTGGCCTCACCCCACAGCTCCTCCAGGAAAAGGAATGATTTACTCTTCCCTATTCTAGATTTGATCCTAAGAGAGAAAAGCCAAGTGATTGGCCTTGACTATAAATCAATGCCATCCCAGAGTGAGGACAAGAAGAGCATAAAGATCTGAGTTGGAYTGGAATCATTCCTTGTCAGATTAGGCACTTGGTTATCCCAGGATCTATTTATATTCATTGGAAAGAAATGGGAACTTTTCAACAGTGGCTCCTTTGACATATTTTAAATGTTCCTGAACTAATARGGCTTGGACCTGAACCAGTTGCCCACACAAATCTTCCACTGATCTTCACGTTGTCCAGGACATCCCACGTGAGCTTCAGCAGAATGAACGTGGCTGTATCCATGGAGGTTCTGTGACAGTGTAGTCTGTGAAAGCTTAAAAATGTTTTGAGCACCAACATTTATGTCTCTGTTAAGGTTTCTCTGAGAGATCTTGGATAGGGTCACCCCTAAAATGCAAGCAACAAATTCCAAGGGAAAAGCTGAAAATGTGGTCACATCAAAATATTTTTTTTTGGTTTTTGCCAACTAGAAGCACATTTCAGTGAGTTCACCTTTAATGATTTCTTTAATAAAACCACCCCACTCTACTTCAGAAGGACACTTGGCTCAGTAGGACCTTTTAGCAGCACTCAGAGAGGTCTGAAGATCAATTTTCAGTGCATGATCAGATGGGGTTTTAATTGTCCATTTAATTGTCCCCACCTCGTGGGGCTGATGGCTGGGGTTTGCTCAGGAGAGAGGACACAATCTGGGAATCAAGCAGGGAATAGGCTGTTGAAAGCCTGGAAATGAAAATGGAGCTATTTTCTCAGCTGGACACAATCCATACAGTTCTAGTGACAACCAAATTGAGCCTGATTTACAGGCWAAGGAGATGAAGCCTCTGGTGTTTGTTCCTCATGCAGATAGCAGTGTTTCAAAGGAAGAGAGATCTTAAAACACTGCAAAGTGARCTTTCCTAGAAAAGAGCCTCAGTGCTGCACTGAGCAAAGTACACAATTATTTATCAAGGACTTTTTTTGTTGTTATTATTGGAGCTCTATGTCAACAGACTAATTTCTCAGAGYTGGGCAGCTCTCACAAAACCCACACATCAGTTCCATAAATGGAGACTGAGCAAAGGTCACCGAAGAGAGCTAATGATGACAGRCAGTGCATCCTTTTTATTCCTCTTTAGGCTTGTTTTATATTTTCATTCATACCTGTTTACCCGTGTTTTCTGCTTCCCGATGGAAAACAAAACTAAGGATTTTTATCTTGACATTTACAGATAGATGAAATAAATTCAAAGTCTTGAAGACAGAATAAAATGGCTTATTTCTTCTTCTCCTTTATTTATGCCATGCTAAGAATATCCTTTTTGCTGGAATAAGACCCTCTCCAACTACAGATGGGAAAGAAAAAGTTTTCATAATCTTGCCAGAGCTTCAGAAGTTTAGACTTTCCATTTCTAAACTGAGAATTCAGACCCCCAAAATGGAGTTATAAGCCAGTGATCCAAAAAGCACTTGGGCCATCTGTTTTGGCACTGTTCAATTAAAACCTGAACACACAAACCCAGAAACTCTTGTGAACCGAAACAAACTTTCCAGTGAATTATTTTGGGCATAAAACTTACCTTCCATAAAAACTAAAATCCATTTGAGAGGAAATTTATCTCCCTTAGCAAGATGAAATAGCCAAAATGCACAAAGGAGGGAATGTTGACTCTGAAGATTTCTCTGCAGTTTCCCCCAAGCTCAGGAGTTTAAAAGGAAATCATTAAGCTCTTCTCTTTCTCTTTTGAGAATTCAATGGACAACTGGCTTTTATTTTGCTCATTTTCTGCTGGGCTTTGTATTTTATGCTTCACAGAAAGCTTCTGCTCCTGTGCTTCCTAGAATGTTTGTTCCTCTGCGCTCCCAGGAACTGTAAAAATTATTCTATTTAGACTTGGTGTTTTTATGCAATGTGGTAAAAATCATCTCAGGGTTAAGTAACGCAGACRGGGATCAGAGCAGTCATTTTAGTGGGAGCATTAGATGCTGCCATCCTGACCTCAGATGAATGCTCTGCCTGTTTATTAATGCTTTGTTTTAATTGTTCTGATCCTCAGACAGGGCCTTTTATCACTAAAGTTTCCTCTTCAAAGGTCACCRGCACCACAATGAGTCCTTTGGGCAAAGTGCTGGCAAATACTTTCATGTACAATCAGGAATAACAAGATGTGATTAAGAAGAAAGAAGATTTCACAAACAGAAGTGGAAATTTCAGAATATTTGCAGACTGTACATGGTTTTGGAAATTTTGTTGGACACTATTCACTCCACAATTATAAAAGTAAACAGCAGGAAAACAGGAATAGCAATGAYGGCAAAATTGGAGATAAATTCTGGATGGACTGCAACCAAACCAGCACATGATCTTTGTCCCCTGTGCAGCTAGGACAGCCTGCTTGAAAAACAGCAAAAATTGTGATAAAAGTCTTTCAAGAAAAACACAGGAATATCAACAGGTCAT